AATCATGTGGAGGTGCTGCAGAGTGGTGGCAATGTCGTGTGGGCACATGCCTGTGGCTCTGCTAATGGCTTTGATGCTAATGTGCCTCTCGTGGTGGTGGTAGAGATATTCCAAGATGACACTCTTCCAGTAGGCCAGGTAGGAGAGACGACCCAGATCAGAAAGTGGCTTTTCAGGAGACCCTGCTTGGCCTTCTCTTCTAGAAAGCAAATAGCCTAGGGCAGAAAAAGCAAAACTCCAGTCATTTTGAGTGTTTCGGGAGCTAGGTCTAGGAGCCACTAGAAATAATGTAATCCGTGGTAAGGCAGAAGCATTACACAGGTGAAGTACATCCTGTTGGACATGTAGCCTCTTCCAATTACTGTGAAGTCACCTTGTCAAATTTCTGCTTGTCAATCTTTTGTGGTGGCACCATAAGACAATTCACAAAGTTGGTGGCAGCAAACACACATGGTAGTGTATGTCACAGAGGCTGAAAGCTAAGACTAAAGGCATGACTTCTGATCAACACATAAATCTCCTGCAAGCTTGAAATTGTTCCAGATGCTCAGTGTCAGGAGTGCAGGAGCCCTGGGGAAGGCCACCCCGGAACTCATGGCCATTGTTTTCCACAGGAGGGCCCAGTGATCCTCCGACAGCTGGGGCTTAATAAAAGAGAAGGGCTTTGGCTGACACAGCCTGTATGGCTTGCTCCATTTAACCAGCCGACTGATCTGAAGCGGTTTTAGAACTAATAAAGCAATATCTTTCAAGTCATCGGGGGCAACTCACATCTTCTAGCTCTATTTTCAGCCATTTTATAAAAATTAACTTAAAAGCCCAGAATGTTGCTCCTACAAATTACAAACTTTAAAACACACTGTTCCATGTGCATATTAACCCCCCCCCCCCCCCAGCACACAGAGCCTGAAGGATGCAGGTTCTCTGGCACAGGAACTCTGAAATGAGAAAACTTCAAGCCCACTTGGAGGAAGTGAATGAAAGCTGGCGGCTGTCTCGGTAATTAGGAGCCACTTACGGAGAGGAGAAGAAACACTGTCTGACAAGTAATGGTGTCTTCTTTGCTAATTATTTCAGCAGCCTCACCTTAGTGAACTTCCTGGGTTTAAACAAACATCAAGCACATACAGTAGGTGGCAGCAGCCACCAAAGCAGGCTGCTCTGTCGCCACCCACATCTTCAGCTTTCTCTTCTTTAGCTACATTTCCAAAATGGCTGCACTTGCAAGAATTTTATTTTAGTTTTTTGTTGTTAATGTTACAAAGAGAAATAATGCCTCTGATCCAGCTTTCCTGTTCTTCAAAAACCACTGCAAATAATACAGAACTCTAGAACAAGATATTCTACCTCAACAACCCTCTGCATCTTGATGGCTTTAACCAGAATGTCATCATACAGAATAGAAATCAAATAAACATCGGGTTCCACGTAAGATTTTTGGCTTAACTCATCTTGGCACATTTGAGCGCAAAGCATCTGACTGAATGTGACGAGCACCAGAGTGCTGCAGTCAAGCCACTGTCTAGCGGCATCTGCTCCACACGGAGGCTTTCAGTGCAGTGCAGCGTCGGGAACGCTCACATAGATGGCTGCTGTGCTGAAGTCAGCCCACATCCAGTCCCGCCAACATGGAGAGGGCTTTGTTGCCAGAGCAGTGAGGGAAGCCCAACCTCAGAACACAGATAATTGGCACATCGATCTCCTGCTTTCTAAGAGCCACATTCTGAGAATTTATTCAGTCAGCTGGGGGCCCCAGCTCTATACTCCTGTGTGGGTATATGGGGGAGGGGAGCAACACCATAGATCCATGGATGAGCACTAATCCCCTTGCCCATGTGGCCCCACAATTAAAAGTTTCCTGCAGTGACCCTCATTGGTTCATGTGAACCCCATTGTTAAAGGCAGAGATATGATATGGCCAGTAAGAAAGGTCTGTGCACAAGTAGAAGGCTGGTGGCCCAGTTCACCACCTCCTCACCTCTGCTTCCCACTGCACGGGGCTACCTTACCCATGAAGCACATGTTCTTTGTTCTCTTTGTTCCGATACTCCCTACCCTGAACTAAGAAGTAAATAGCCAGAATTCCCAGCCATCCCCCATTTTACCTAGCTGTCCTGTTCTTGCACCCTGAGTCTAAAAGGGTCACTCAAGCAAGCAGGTGACTTGGGCACCTGGGGAGCATGGGAGTATAAACCTTTCCATACCTGCTACTGCTACCATGTCAAAAGACTGTGCTAGGACACTTCAGTAAACCCTTGACTCTAGTCTAGACTGACACTGCTTCAGAAGTCCAGGATAACAAGCACTGATGTGTGGGCATTGAGCCCACTGGTCTTTCCCAGCAAACACCATCTTGCTGTGCAAGCAAAGGCTGAGAGGAGGCAGGGAATGGAAAAGCTCTTGTTGGGAGGGATACTTTTCAGGATGCTGAGGACAAACAACTGGAACCCCCCCCACTCGCATTTCAGAGATGACATGTACCAGCACCACACACCACACCAAGCCAGTGTCCCAAGGTACCTGGTACTGCCTGCAGCCAAGTGTCTCCTTCTTCTCTAGGAATCTAGAGATCTTCAAGGAACTTATAGTCAGTGGGAAGAAAATGGCACTTCTGCAAAGAGCCATTTGGAAGTCTATAATGTCTTCCCCCCGCCCCCCCCCCCCCGGAGGAGGATGTTCTGATGTTAAATAGAATCCACCAGAAACAATAAAAATGAGCGTGAATAAAAATTTCTTATTTTTTACTAGTTGAGTGAAATCCCATGCAGAATGATAACCCGTGCAGCTAAGAAAGGTGTCGTGCCTGACAGCTGTGTCCTGATTGACAGAAGACAGACTGCACATGTCATCTGCAGCAGGCGCTTGCCTGGAAGGGCCTGAGCTGCTGGCACTGAACTACGCTGACTTTCATGACCTGGGGTGTTAAGCAGGGGCTTCTTGCCCCTTTTTGTTGCTTCCTACTTCTTCTTGGCTCTTCAAAGCACAGTTACAATATAGAGCAGACAAAATAATTTTTGGTAAGAACATTTGACTTATTAAGTAATTACAGAGATGTGATGGTTTAAGCTCTTAAATTTAACTTACCAAAAAGATTCCAAATAATTGATCTAAGATGCAGGGAAATAAAAAGCACTTATCTTGGAAGCCGGTGTATTGTCCTGAAGCATCTGAAACAAGTACAATACACCCCTGGTGAATAGATTCCCACGGCGTGCTAACACCTTTCCTTAATGCAGGGTACTTTCAATCAGAAAACGTCAACTACCCCTGGGAAACCTACTGTTGCAGATGTGTGGACAGCAAATCCCACAAGTTACAGTATAATTAATCGCTGGTGAACAGTACTCACTCATGAGTGGTAACTCTGTAATTGAAAACTGAGTGGCCCTTAAGTACATTAACTATCCGTACACAGCGCAATCCGGCTCTCTCTGCTTCACAGGGGAAAGATGAGGTCTGAGTGTTGGTGTAAGTCTTTCCACCTCTGCTTAGGATGGCCTAGAGTGTCAATTCTCGTGTTACCTGGCCCCAGTGAGAGGCTGAAATGATTAACTACCTCTAGGCAAGAAGAACAGATCCATTTTTAAGGAAGAAACTATTTAGATGAGGTCAAAGTTTGTTTTCGCAGACATGAGTAAATGAAAATCAATTTGATCCTCATCATGCAAAGCTAACCCTCATTTATATGAAAATTCCCTCCTTTTGAACAAGCACTATTCAAGATGACCTAGTAGAGCAAGAGTAAAAGAAATGTTCTCAGGCCAGGATGTGGCAGAGATAAAGGTTTCTCTCCTCAGAAGTGTCTCCCATCATCTCTGGACACTTTGACTCCAAACCATATGAATGTCCCAGACACAGAAGTGTAAACCTTGGCTCCCATCTCTCTGGGTTATGTGAATTCAGCGTCTTTAGCAGCTTTTAGAGGAAGATACCTTTCACCAGACACCTGTTTAGTTTAGCAGGCTCCATGGAAAGGCCCACATTAGAAGATAGTCTGGATTTTGCAGGCCTGGGCAATGACACCAAGCCATGGGCTTACGGCAACTTAGAGGAGGAAACCTGATGCCTTTACCACATAGCTCTTGGAGGTGGCAGTTCACTGAGCCATGCTGTCTGGTACTTGTTTCCTGGGCTAGGAACACTGTGGCCATGCGGGCAGGCGAACAGCATGTTAGCAGTTTAATCACTGGGATGGATATGAAGGGCTGTCTATACTTTGTTTAAATTCAGTGCATGAGTCTATGGACCTAGGTAATAATGTAACAAGTGGACTAAACTCTAAGGGACCACTAGAATAGTCTCAGGCCCTCCCCACTCAACAAGCTACTAACTGGAGTACCGAGGGACAGCAGCACTTGTGCTTTCACGAGGTCCCAAAGGTGACTCAAGGTGAATGTCCTTGAGGATCACTCTGGAGTTGCCAGGTAAAAAGGCTTGTGCAGTGGTAGGACTACTGAATGTACAGCGGGATGAATGAGTACGGCTTGCCAGTTCTTTGCTGGCAGAAAACAGAACAGAATGGATTTTCTAAAGCCCTACCAGGCTGCATGTTAGAGAAAGTCACTGAGTGGCTATGCCTGGGTATTACTAGAAGGCAAACAACTCTTAACAGGAATTATAACTTAGATGGTACCAAGGGGGCCTGAGGGCATGCATCACTAACCAAGTCTCATACCACGGAGACAGAATCAAAGAGTGGGGGTGGGGGTTCATATACATTAAATCAGTGGTCTTGGCTTCAGGACTTTGCATTTTAAACCCTTATTTAAGACTCCAAAGAGTTTTTGTTTATAAAGACTGTATCTGTTGATTTTACTGAGAAGTAACATTTATTAATTTTAAAACAGCAATAAACTTTATGATGTTACTATAATTTTAGATAATAAAAAACCTTCCCTGTATTTTTAAAAATATAAACAAAATAGTGAGAAGACTTGCTTTACATTTTTACATTCTAGCCAATGTCTACTTTGGTCCTTAATCTGTTATGTTTATTACAGACCATGACATTTCTGGAAAATTCCACTTTATAGTCATGAACGAAGAAGAGTTAAAGGGAAAAGTGACGCTACTTTCAAATACTTATGCACTGAAGACTGCATGGACTGTACTTCGGGACCACCTGTACTAGATGGAAAATGAGAACTTTTAAAAGCTGGGTCAGAACCTGAGAACTTCAGAACTGTTATCTGTGGAACTCAGTGACAGCTCACAGGAAGTCAGGAGCACAGGCTCTGGAGCCGCAAGCACTGCAGTGGAAACCAGGACCCACCATGCGACAGCTACGTGACCCATGGGCATTTATTCCATCTCTGTGTACACTGAATCCTCACTCAGACTAGGCAACTAATAATCACATTCATTTCTTCAAATTCCTGGAAGCATTACACGGGTTAATAAAAAGCACACAGAACAGTGCTGGGCTTAAAGTAAAGCTATTAAGGGTTTTTCACCATAATGAGTGAATACAATCTAGAGGAAATCATTTAGAGACTAAAACCCCTCTAACAGGAGAAATAAAGAAACTGTGGACAGAAAGAAGTCAAATTTTTCTTTGGAGCCCGACTGAGATGAGGCTCCTTCCTGTTCCTACATTTACTTGAGATACCCGAAGACCATCTTACTGTCTTCCATCCTACTGTCTTAAATTTCCCACCACCCAGATACAAATTTAATTAAGGACCCTCCCCCCTTTGGCCTCAGGAATAATCTCAAGAAATTAGCTACTGAAAATTCCCAGCAAACTTGGTTTGTTCCCAAATTCCTTTTGGCTGTCAAGTACTTAACTTCAGTGATCACCCTGAAGGAACAACTAGCCCATGAAACCACAAACACAATGACTGCCTCGGGCTTTAGCAGAACCACAAGCTGTCCCCAGACAAATATAACAAAGACTCACATATTCTAGAAGACTCAAGTGTGTCTTGGGAAAATGGCCTGAGCCAGGGAAAGCGAGGGAGTAGAGACAGCATGTCTTTGGGAAAGGTCTGCTGGCTCCCCCGAGTCACATCTCAGGGTGTCTCACGCTCTTAGACATCTTTTCTCAAAGACACACCAACTTCCTAGAAGTCCACTCCAGTGCTGAGCTCTTCCTCAGTTATATGGAACAAGGCCACTAATTTTCCTTGCTGATTATTCCCTACTGCCTAACAACTATCCCAGAGGGGAATGGTCTTCAAGGTCCTCCCAGCGGGAGCTTATACTGGAGATGTGACACCTGGTGCCATGTAGTACATGTGTTCAAGTCTACAGACCATGCTGGCATTTGTCAAAAAAGTTTCCACGGCTCCCTGATGGCTGTGCACGCTCTTTAAGGCATTGTCACTCTGTGTGAGCCACTCACAGGGCAGATGGCAGGGAAAGGGACTCTCTCCCCGCTGTAGTTCCTTTGCGGAGGGTGCAGCTGGGCTTGAAGGCCAGGCAGCATCCGCTGCATGAAGCAGCCTAAGGGTCATGGACAAATCCCCATGACAAACAGCCAACGGTGCCCTTAATAACTGACTGCCCAATGTCATGGGATGTCTCCCAGCTTCCTTCCCTGACCTTTGGTCTAGCTACGGGTCTCATCCATAGCTGCACAGGATAGTCACTTCCAAGCATATAAAAACCCTTCATGTCAATCTCAGCTCTGGTTTATCTCAGGATAGCTTGACTTCAGATGTGCATTATTAAGTAAAAATCTTGAGGACTGACTGCCCTTAGCCATAATTCTAAAGGGTAGAGCATCTATCCCATGTCAAAGGTGGTGGCAGTACTACTGAGTGAGAGACTTGGGTAGAAGGTAAAGGTCAGTCAGCAAGCGGGAGCATGGGATGCATCTCGCAGGTCTCGTTCAGCTAAACTCAGCCGAGGACGGATTGCGTCCCAGTTTCCTTTGCTGTGGTTGTGACAAAACACTCTACCAAAAGCAGCTTAGGGAAGAAAGGGTTTACTCGGCCTGCATTCTAGGAAAAGGTTTATTTGAGGCAAGTCAGGGCAGGAACTGAAGCTGAAACTATTTGTGAAATGCTGCTTTCTACGTCTTTTTCTTTTTTCTTTCCTACGTTTTTTGAGACAGGGTCTCTCCATGTAGTCTTGGCTATCCTAGAGGTCACTATGTATATATACTAGGATGGCTTTGAACTCTCAGAGATCCTCCTGCCTTTGCCTCCCAAGTGTTGGGATCAAAAGTACATGCCACCACATCTAGCTTCCTTATAAATCCTGTGTAGGGGTGGTGCTGCCAACACATCAGTCAGTAATCAAGACAATCCCTCAATGACACAGCCACAGGCCAAGCTAATCTGGGCAATCTTTCAATTGAGACTTCCTTAGATGACTCTGGCTGTGTTGAACTGACAGCAAGATGCTAACTAGGACAGTATCAGTTAGATCCTGCTTCAGTGTCTCAGGGAATTTCTATTTTCCTGAGATGATGATCAACCACAAAATTAATTCAATTCGTAATTTCCTCGTTAGGGAAATAAGGCCCTGGGATACAGGATAAAATGGGATAGAATGGGAGATGACTACTCTACCAATGTCACATATAACCAAACTAAAATCATTTTAGGACTTTTAAAACTGAAAATAAATATAAAATGTTTACACAAACAAATTTTGTAAGTAACCAAATTGTTCATAAAGCCAACTGCCTTCCCTAAGTATCAGTCAATTGTCCCTCAGAGGCAATTCTCTTTGGAGATGGTAGAGTGCTAGGGCCACTGCTTTTGATATGACAGAAATGGGAAACACGTTGCTTTTAAATTCTAGTAGTAGATGCTTAGCAGGTAAAAGTTTTTGCTGACAAGTTGAGTTGAATCCCTGGACCCCACATGGTAGGAGAGAATTGACTTCTACGAGTTGCCCTCTGACCTCCACAAATGTGCGTGCGTGCACACTCACACACACATACACACACATCTCACACTAAATGCAATAACATTATTTTAAATTCTAGAATATTTTAGGAAAGGCCAAAGTTTATAAATATAAAAGTTAAGAAGAAGTAATCTGGCATTTTAAACTTATTTCTTCTCTTAGAAAAAAATTTTTAATCACACTAGACTTTGAAAAAAATATTCTAAAAAATAATGTGTTAGCAAAACAGTGCCCCAAATCACTGTTCTTCATCCTCCTGGGATTGTTACCCAAACTGAAACCTGAGCAAGATTTTCATTGAGTACAAAATCCTGACAGGACTTTCTTATTGAAAAGCTACATGATTTCAAATTCTCCACTGAACTGACATGTGTGTGTAAATCACACATTTTCAGCAAAGGGCTGTGTGCATCTATAGTGTAATACCCATGAAACCATTTTAGTGCCAAGATACCACAACTGAATGCACCACTGACCTGTATGCACCACCACCAGAAGCAAAGCTGGACCTCCTTTGGGTCACTATTACAGGCTCTAGAGGGGCAGCTGAGCTAGGTGAGTCCAATACCTAGGCATCTCAGATAGCCCAACAAAACTGGGTGTGGGTGGGGTTTGTTTACACTGCTGTGGATGCTGCCACGGAATCAAGCTTAGGGGTCAGCCTGGTGGCACAGCCTGTGCACCCCAGCTATTCAGGAAGTTATAGAAGGAGGATTGAAAGTTCAAAGCCAGCCTCGACAACTTATTAATATCAACAGTTAAAAGGGAGGTATTGGGGTGGGGATGTAGTTCAGTGGGGATTGCTTTACCAATCTAGGTTCAGCACCCAACACTATGAATATGAAACATGGGCTCTAGAAGACAGGGCAGGGAAGTTAGAAGTGTAACTTGATTTCCTTTTCTCCATCCCCATTCCTCTCTTTCATGACCCTCCAATTACACTCTGTGTGTGTGCACACACCAGCACCCAGATCTGAAAACTGAGCTTTCACATGGCAAACACAGACTGTAAACAATATGGCTTCGGAAAAGTGGGAGAACAAGTCTCTTTCCATTTTCCCTTTGTTTTCAAACAAAGTACATCTCAAGAAGAAGTTGTCAGCCTTTGAGACAACTTTCTAAAATTAAATTCCAGCCCCTTCTCTAAGCTGACTTTATGATAAACTGTGTAATGGAAGGCTCAGAAACATCTTTAGTGTCCCCAAGTTAGCTAGACAAACGCTTTCTTCCACCCCTCCTTCCCTTACGTCCTAAAGGCTTTGAACATAATTTGAGGCACAAAGAAGTTGGCAATACCACAGCTGTGTCAAGGTGTATGCTGGGTGTGGGAACCAGGGTGGGGTGAGACATGCAGTTAAGTGATTGGTTGACTTGCCACGGGCTTTGATCATGAAGGGACTTAAAAGTTTAGTCTGGCTTTGTAAGATCAATGGGAGAAAAATGAATATATGCAATACCACACAAGCAATGCTTTTAGTTATATGTATTGCTGAAGCAATGACAAGGATTTATTTTTATTATTATTTCTTTGGGGACAAGGTATCACTATGTAGTCCTAGCTAGCCTGAACTTGCTTTGTAGACCAGACTGGCCTCCAACTCACAGATATCTACCTGCCTCCATCTCCCAAGTGCCAGGGTTAAAGGCGAGGGTCACCACATAGCTAAGGATTTATTTTTAAAGACAGGATCTTGCTATGGAATGGCGTCAGGTTCCAGTTCACTGGCATTATAGGTGTGTGCCTCTGTGTTCAGCCTATTACTGGCAGTATTAAAAGACATCAACAACTCATCTTTGAGCCTGCAGACAGTACATTTCTGAGTCTCTTGAATGAGACACAATTCTGTCTACTGTTCAGATTGACACTAACACTGAAAGCAGCTAGAGTTGAGTAACACCAGCACCAATAACAACTTAACAGGAGCACAACAGTAACCACAATATCACAGTTATCCCCACAAGTCTTTATATTGTGTTAATCACCAAATCTCCAACTTTCAAAGTACTGGAATGTACAGTGAAGGTTTCGGTGGCTAAGTGTCTGTGTGCAGGGTAGGTACTGTTCTGATTAGGTTACCCAAGACTCAGCTCTCCATATTTAGCTACAGACAAAAACTCAGGGAGTTTAATTAACAGGAACTCAAACACATGGTAATAGCTAAAGTTTCATTACTGAGAACTCAATTCAATGCCACGGCAATCCTCATTTACAAGTCAAGGACAGAACACACACTCAGGAGGGTATATATGCCAAGGTGGCAGTGTGTGATTATGGATGAGTACACTGATCTGGAAATCATGTAACTGTCTCTTGTAATCACCCTGCTGCAGATCAGAAACAAGTTTCCTGTGCGATTTGCAGAGGAATGGAGACTGAGATACACAATCTCCTTTTCCTTGGTTTTAACCCATTAACAGCTATTTAATTATGTCTGATGAGGTCAAAGAAAGTTAATTTATGAAAAGCTGGAGGAAGGTATTTCAAAGAAAATCCTCTGAGAAGTTCCCAGTAGCACTGAAACCTGGTGACTTCTCTTCAGGGAAGAGTTATCTAAACTGTTAGCATTCTAAATGATGTTTGACACAAACTCACAAACGCCATGTCTTCACTAAAAACCCTTGCTATGGTCTGT